ACACCCCGCCGGCCCCCCGAGGGACCCGCCGCTACAAGGGGGATGCGAAGGCGGGGTGCGCTGGGACGGGGGCCCCCGTCCCTCCCGGACTGCAGCATCCCGCCCGCCGCAGTGCTGCTGGCTGGGGCGGCAGGAGGGCTCGGCACCGGCACAGCCCCGGAGGACGGTGTGACCCCCGCCGAGGCCACAGCGAGCAGAATCCTGCACACCTAAGCGAGAAGCAGGAAGGGTACGTCTGCTGCTTTATTTTCATATCAGAGAGCATAAATCAGAAACCTGCATTATTTTTATTTAACGGGAAAGATGATTTTCGTAGCATGGGTGATGGTGGTGAGGGAGAACAGCCTGTATTCCCACACAGCAAGCGTGATCTGTGTTTCACTTTAAAAGGTCCAGATCCTTCTGGTCATCTGATTCAGGTCAAGCAGGACTTCGGATTGCCAGCAGCCTGCAGATCCCACTGGAGCAGCTCCCAGCACCTGCTGCTGCCCCCCGGGAGAGAGGTGGGATGCTCTTTCAATCCCTGGAAGACTGAGAGGTAAAAGATCCCCATCTCCGTTTCTCCTTCTGTCTGCTTTTCCCACAGGGGTTAACGAAAGCATTAAAATTTGTAGAGGTTCATTAGGGTGGATGGCGGCACTGGTTTTCAGGCCAAGCCATGAGTTTGACACTGTGCCGTCACGTGTGGTTGATGCACACCCCATACCCGCAGCCCCTAAGATTCCAAACATCTGAGCATGCTCTGGCCTGGAGAGCGATGCTGCTGTCCTGAGGAATGAATGACATGAAGGTGCCTGGGCAGGGAGGGGGATGGATGGAGGGAGGAAGGGGACTATGTCTGGAGCTCTTATCCCCTTCTCTCTCTGCCTGTGCCTTGCTGCAGGCTGGGCCCCATCCCTGGCAGTGTCCTGTCCATGAACCACCTCCCAGCATGAGTGCCGATGCCGAGCAGCTCCTGGCTGGGGCCCAGGTGGCTGGTGTGCCCCTCTGGACCGTATCCAGCTGGGCTGCCTCTGAGGTGCCCCCCAATACCAGTGCGGCAGCTGGGGAGGCTGGCTGGCAGCAGGGGCAGGCGGAGTGGGGCGAGATCACAAGCATGGTGGTGATCCAGTGCATCTATGCCCTGGTGTGCCTGCTGGGGCTGCTGGGCAACTCCCTGGTGATCTTCGTCATCCTGCGCTACGCCAAGATGAAGACAGCCACCAACATCTACCTGCTCAACCTGGCCATTGCTGACGAACTCTTCATGCTCAGCATCCCCTTCGTGGCCACCTCAGCCGCCCTGCACCACTGGCCCTTCGGCCGGGCCCTGTGCCGCACCGTGCTGGGTGTTGATGGGCTCAACATGTTCACCAGCGTCTTCTGCTTGACCGTCCTCAGCCTGGACCGCTACATTGCTGTGGTGCACCCACTGAGGGCAGCCACCTACCGCCGTCCTCGGGTGGCCAAGATGGTCAATGGGGGCGTGTGGCTCCTCTCGTTGCTGGTGGCTTCGCCCATCCCCATCTTTGCTGGTACGGCAACCACCCACGATGGCCAAGCAGTGGCCTGCAACCTCCTGTGGCCAAGTCCGGCCTGGTCAGCCGCTTTTGTGGTCTACACCACCTTGCTGGGCTTCTTGCTGCCGGTGTTGGCCATGGGGCTGTGTTACCTGTTGATCGTGGGCAAGATGCGGGCGGTGGCACAGCGGGTGGGCTGGCAGCAGCGTCGGCGCTCTGAGGGCAAGCTGACACGCCTGGTGCTGATGGTGGTTGCCATGTTTGTGGTCTGCTGGATGCCCTTCTATGTGGTTCAGCTGGTCAACCTCCTGCTGCCCGGCCGCCTGGATGCCACCGTCAACAACGCCTCCCTCATCCTCAGCTACTCCAACAGCTGTGCCAACCCCATCCTCTATGGCTTTCTCTCTGAAAATTTCCGGCACTCCTTCCACGGCGTGCTGCGCCGCTGCCTCGACGCCAGCCTCTGCTGCTGCCACACCGAGGAGGGGACCACCGAGGAGGAGGACGAAGAGCCCCTCGACTACTGCGCCGCTCCCCGGGGGGATGACAAGGGCAAGGGCTGCATGTGCCCACCCCTGCCCTGCCAGCAGGAGCCCATTCACCCCCAGCCCTGCTGCAAGCCTGGACCCCTCCTCGCAAAGACCACCGCTTTCTAGGGTGCCACCACACCTTGCCAGCCCCCCAGATGTGTGTCTCCACCAGGCATGGGCAAAGGGGACCCTGGCTGGAGAGGGGACAGATTGCTGTGCCCTGCACAGCTGGTCCTCATGTGTACTGTGCAGTTTTACAAAATAAAAAGCCATAAGACTGGCCTGTGATACAGTTAATAACATCGACTGAGTAATTATTGCCATTACCTTCACAGCAAGCAGCCTCTGCTGGGATCAGGGACACTGAGAATTTCAAAATGTGGTAGCGAGGAGTGACCAGCTATGAGGCAGGTGCTCCTGCAGAATAATAAAATACAAACTTTCCTGCTGCTTCCCAAGACATGCTCTGAAAGGTGGAGAAAAGTCCCAAAGCCCATCAGCCCCTCTGTGTCTTCAGCAGAGTGAGGGCGTAGGACCAGATCAGATTCTCCATCTACAGGGCACTGGGATCGATTTGACCCCTTTGGGTTCCCCTTATGTAAAAAAAAAAAAGTGTTTCTGAGTAACTGAGATCAGAGCTTGAGACTATGCAAACTGAGTCTTGGCAGGTGCCAGGGAGTCCCAAACCTCCCTTTAGCTAAAGGGGAAAGGAAAAACCTTAGGTCCTGCCAATAAAGCTCACCTGCTCCACCCCCCACCCCCCCCTCCCCAAATTCCCAGGCAAAGGGACTTTAGCACACACGGGTCCGAAATTGTATTTTCCACAAGAAAACTCGGGAGGACCGAATACCATGCTCTTTGCCACAGGTAAACATCAACTCCAGTGGTACTTGAAACACATACCCATGGAAACTTCATAGCCCTGGGGCCATACCAGCTTGGCCACACTGAGGTAGTGTTAAATCAGCCATTTTCAGCTTCTTTGGTTTTAATTTTATCCTTCTTATGTTACTCTGGTTCTCCATTATTTATGGCTAATTCCTTCTATTTTAATCATGCTGGTGAAATAACCAGCAGGGCAGTGTTTTCAGCCTGATGCTCTGCTAAGAGACTGAAGCTCTTTTTTTTTTTTTTTTTCTCCAGTGAGGTTTGTGACTTCTGGAACTGGCTGCAAGATGGGCCAGTGCTCAGTGAGGAGAGTCATTTTAGGGAAGGGAAGAAAGAATGTATCATTAGCAGCTTTCTATAAACCAGACTGTAAAAGCTTTATTAGTCTACACACAAAATCACCATGTGATTGTGCACTGCATAGGGTATATTTCCAATAAATAAATAAGTATTTACAAATGTGCTGGGTATATAAAACAGTGGGTTGAACCATTTACATTAGGAAACCTATGGTTCATACAACACATATCTTTTTATTTGCCTTGCTGCAATGTAGCTCTATCATATCCGGAGGGGAAAATGCCACGTGATAGCAAGGGGGGGGATTCGGGGGGACACAACCCTCCAAGCTCTGCAACCTCTCTGCAGTATCCAGCCCTCCCAAGTTCTGACCCTAGGCTCACAAAACCTCCTGTGGGAAACAAGCGCTGCTGCAGGCTGATATTTCTCGGGCATAGGGCTGTCAGTACCCGCTCACCCTGTGCCTCCACCAGCCACTGGTTTCACCCCACTACGGCTGCTGGAGCAGGATGCCCGCAGCCCCACCAGCTCTGCCTGGCAGTGTGCTGGCTTTGCAGAACTGCCCTTCATCTCCTTGTCAAACGATGGAGCTGGAAAAAGGTATAAAATACTTTTCCAGATTTGCCCCCAACCCATGGCCAGGAAGTAAGCAGCGGGCCAGATCCTGGCCCCTGGGAAAGTTTTGCCGTGAATGGTGAGCATCAGCATGGATTAGACTCAGCCCTGGACAAGCCTACAGGAAAACCAGGAAAAAAACATGTGGACAGGAGGGGTCAGTTAAGTGGGTTTGTAAAAAAAAAAAAACAAAAAAAAACCCAAACCAAAACCTAAACTAAACATTTTAACCCAACAGTGGCAGAAAATCACAGAAAAAATTGCATGGGGAACATGAGGCTTGCCAGTGCTGCAAGTGACTTTTCCTACCATGGAAAAAATTACCCTGCATTCTCATTATCCCCATTTAATCTCCATGCCCCCCTCCCCACCTCAAAAAGCTCTAAAATGGTAAGAGGGAAATAGAAATCAGGCATTTTTAGCCCTCACACAGTGACACTCAGCAGTCCCCACTGTTGCTAGTGCTCAGCTGCCAGAGGTGAGAGGCATAAGATGGGGGGGAAACAAAAACTGAGATTTCTGCTGATGAGGCAGAGCAGGGCAGAGCAGTGAGGCAAAATGCTGACTACAGGATCTTTGCTCTTTCTTCCATCACCCATCAGTTTAAAAAAACCTAAACTGAACCCAGACGAAGGCAGGAGCGTTCCAGCTCCTCACCACCCTGGGTCTCACCATCTGGAGCCCAGCGGCACGTTTCCCAGCTGAGGAGAGGGGGCTTTGGGGCCAGGCAACCTTCCACAGTCCACAACAACAAGCCAGCTGTGGCAGGGGTGCTCTCTTCCCATGGTTGCTACAGATTCAGTCAGTTCCAGACAGAGATGTCCCTCCTGTAACACATGCATGGTTTTTCCTTGAAGCTCCCCCAAACCACTGGCTCGGGGAAAGGAAAGCCAAACGCCCACTGCTGCCTGTGAAGGGAGCAGAAACAGAGCAGCGCTCCGTGACTTCCACCTTCCCCGCTCTCTGGTGCAAGTATTGCAAGAGCCGGCTGGAAAGGAGTGAGTATTTTTGGTAATGTGGGCGATCACAGCTTTTCCCAAATTATCATTAAAAAACTGCCGGG